CTCAGTGTTTAAAATACTCTTTTGGGCCACTTAATTATATACTGTTACAAAGTCTGTATCTTTTCTTTCCAACACGATTTTGAACTTCTTAATGATAGCCACCACGCCTCTGTTACTCAACAGAGCAACTCAAGAAATACTTGCTGACTTCTATCATCTTGTGTGCTTCCGTTGGAGGCAAAACATTAATGCCTTACAAATTAATTGTGACAGGTCAGATTCAGATAACATGAAAAAGAATTTACTGAGCATGGAGAACTATAGATAAGTGAGGCTACAAATATCTCCTTTAATAGAGAAATTATAATTACCCAAGTGTCACAGAATAACTGTTAGCTCTGAAAAGTTATTGAAAGGAATTTTATTCTTTTAAAAAATGTTTACTTATTTATTTTGAGAAACAGCGAATGAGAGTGTGAGTGGGGGAGGGGCAGAGAGGGAGAGAGAGCCAGAGAGAGAGAATCCCAAGCAGGCTCTGCACTGTCAGCACAGAGCCTGACATGGGGCTTGAAGTCACGAACTGTGAGATCCTGACCTGAGCCAAAATCAAGAGCAGATGGTTAACTAACTGAGCCACCCAGGTGCCCCAAAGGGAATTTTATTCTTAAAGGTGTGTATCATTCTTCTGTTATAGGATAACGATTTCAGCTGGCCAGAGTAAAGTCTAATAACATATAATCATGAGACTGCAAATATATATGCTACAATAGTAAGAAATCACATTCCAAATGTTCACTAGAAGCAAAATTCTCTATTGTGCATTGTGCATATATCATTCCACTTAATTCTCACAATGTGCCTATGAGGGGAGCATTATTATATCATCTTTAAAAAATATGGAACCTGCGATCTGTAGAAGTACGACAACTATCAAGGTCAGTGGCAGACAGAGGGTTCGGATTCAGACCCACGGGGCCACAGAGCTGAAGTTAACTCCCGCGTCATGCTGTGGCCAAGGTGCTGGGCACTGTGTGTGTGTCATCAGCCCAGATGTCCAGTTACTAAATAATTGCACTGCCCCTCTGCATCCCAGCCCATGAAGTCAGACGGCAATTCTGGACAGAAAGACCTGTATCTCAGTTTATAATTTTCAGATACACAATGAGACTTCATAAGTCAATTAGAATTCCAAAGGAGTGCAATTTTTGTAAACTTATGCTTGGTGCCTGCAAAATACCAGTCAATCAGCTAACTTAGGGCAACAATCTCCAAAGGAGATGGTTTGGCATGTAAACAAAACTATGTTCACATATTTCATAGTGTCTGTTCTATTATTACTTCATTTGCCAAACTCCAAATGTCAATGCCACCCAATTAAGAGATATGCCTAATTTCTCTTAAAATCCATTTAGGGTATAAAGCGGATACTTTTCTAGTCCCATATGATTTTCAGGATGATGCTAATAAAAATATGAGAAATTGTAATCATACAGAAATACATTTTTTCTTTTACAAAAGCCCTCGAGCCAAAGAAAAAAACCAATTCAAGAAAAAAGTTATGACAGGAAAATGTCAAGAAGCAGCCAAATCTACAAAAAAAAGTACTTCTATGAAAACACATGATGGATCCTTAGTAGAGAACATTTAGCTAGGGTGAAATCTCTATTACAAAAGATTGCTTTATTTTGCTGACTTTCTGATATATGAACTTAGTGAAACATTTTACATTAAGAAGGACTAGCTTTAAATCTGGGTTAACAAACAAATTTGTGTAAAAGACACATGTCTGTTTAAGAATATGCATTTCAACTTATCCATAGACAGGGCGTGGAAGACCAACAGATTTTCCCTTCAGTTTTAGATCGTTGAGTAGATGCAAACACCGTTGCCCTGGGATTCTCGCTGTAGCTCTAGCCAGTACGTGCAAAGGACCAGACCAGCTCCCACTACAGACAGAGGTGTGAACCGTGATGGGAGACGAGCGCACGGGACAGGGAGTGGCTCTTTCTGGCTTGTGAGTGACACAGAAAAATGAGTAGGCCCTCCCCAAATTCTCCTGCCTCTGGCAAAAAGGAGGGAAACTAGAATTCAGAGGGCACTGAAAAATTAATTCGACCCTTCTCTGTGACTCGTTGGCCAGCCTGAAGCGGAGATAAAATTCAAGCTATAAATGACAGGTAATCCCTTCCTGCAGACCTCATGGCCCCCAGCTTACAGTGAGGTCTTTACGGGAGAAGCAGCGAGTAGAAAGTGAGAATTTGTGGGAAAGTACAGATCTATGTCTTCAGAAGTACCAAGGAAAGCTCTTTGTTTTATGCATGATGAATAATGCAAATCTAAGTAATTTAACAAGCTTATTTTTGTTTTATTTAAAAAAATTTTTAATGTTTATTTTTGAGAGAGAGAGAGAGAAAGAGAGAGAGCAAATGGAGGGAGAGCAGAGAGAGAAGGAGACATAGAATCTGAAGCAGGCTTCAAGCTCTGAGCTGTCAGCATAGAGCCCCGCATGGGGCTTGAACTCATGAACAGTGAGATCCTGACCTGAGCTGAAGTTGGACACTGAACTGACTGAGCCACCCAGACGTCCCTGCTTATTTTTGCTTTAAAAACATAATTGTGCTTTCCTCTCTACCCCAAAACCACCTACAGCACAAGCCTTAGAAGGCGGACTGTGTCTTTCCCGCCACTCGGTGGCCTGGTCGCCTGCACAGGCAGTGGACTTGAGGCATCGCTACGGTTGCAAAGACTTGAGACCTGAGGGCTCGTCCGGTTCAGAAACCCACTGTCTCATTAATATAAGTGAGATATCGACAATATTTGGAACTGACTCATTTTTCGAAAATGATCTTACGACAAAGAGGAAGAGGTGGATGGGCAAGCAATGCGATTTTGGGGGATGCTATGTGAGTTCGTATGGGTGATGGGCTGGGCCGCAGAGGTCCTCATCCATCGGGGTTCTTTTCCAGTAAATGTAACAAGGAATCTGCTACGTCTTTCAATCATACAAAGGCCCTCAGGAAAACCACACTAGCACCACTAAGGGTCTGCTGTTTGTAGCTGTAAATGTAACTCAACAGGGTTTGCCCTGATAGCTCAGGGCCCAGCGTCAGCCAGGCTGTGGCCCCGGAGCCCAGCCCTGCTGTACACGGGCTAGGAGGTGTGGCCAGTTACCTGATGTCTCAGCTCTCACTCAGTGGGGATAAGAATGCTTTCCTGGGGGACCTGGGTGGCCCAGAAGGTTGATGTCTGACTCTTGATTTCGGCTCAGGTCATGATCCCAGGGTCGTGGGACCAAGCCCCAAATTGAGCTCTGCACTGGGCATGGAGCCTGCTTGAGATTCTCTCTCTCTCTGTCTCTCTCTCTCTGTCTCTCTCCAAAAAAAGAGGGCTTTTCTAGCAGGCTTTTGTGCTGGAGTAAAGGTGCACAGAAGTCCATCTATAAATGACGGCAATTATTATCACTGTGATTATTTTTAAATTACTGAAGACCGCACATTATGTGTTGACATTCTCCATGGGGGGGGGAGGGGAGGGTCATCGTCATCAGCACAAAACAATGTCATCAACGCAGACGATCTCCTCCTCTGGTTTGTAGCTAGTCTGGCAGACCCTTGTACAGAGTCTGAATCTACTTCTAAATTCTGCCCAATGCAGTAACGCATTCACACAAAAGGTTCAGCATAAAATGCTTTTCGACTTTTGAGTCTTACAAATTTATATAAGATGGAATGCAATATCCATCATCTGTTATACATTCTATTGTCCCACAAGGGTACGTAAATCTCATTGCGTAATTACGCCCCTGACTGCGTGACCTTTGCAGATGCACATCTGCTTGACAAAATGACAGAATTATTCCTCCTTAGGGGAAAACATCCGAGTTTATCTTTAACATATGGTTTCAATGAAAAATTCCTATGGATACTTAATTTTTCCCACAGTGGCTGATCTTCAGTTTCTTAGAGCTTGATTTGTCTCATAGGCCAACAGAAATTATGAATCTCATGTTGCCTCATATCTACACATGCCTCTCATTTGTCTGAAGTCCCGATGAAATTATTTTCTCCAAGTATGTTTTCCAAGGAGATGCCCGCATCCTACTTAACCGTAGCAGAAAGCAGACGGCCGCAGTTGTAAACCGTTCATGCTATTGATTCACATTCTCTTAAGAAACTTTTTAGCGATTCCTGCGTGTTCAAGTCAGGAAAATTAGGATGCCCCCCGTAAATATGCCGAGGCAATCCATGCAACATCGGCAGCAGCCCAGTCCAGTGTCTTTGAACGTTTCCTGAGCCCTCACCTTTCCAAAGTGCTGCGAGAGAAACCCCAGAGGCGTGAAGGAGAGGCTGCAGTGGGAACAAGGACCTGGGGGTGGGGGAGGTGAGGAGACAAGGAGGAAGGATAGGGGAGAAATAAAAAGCCACCCTTGCCTCTTATTCCCAGCTCTGCAGCTGTTTCGCCATGTGTCCGACTCAACAAAGGGCTTCGGCAGACTTTAACCCGTGTCTTTCCTGCCTTGGGACTCCGGGCATGAGCTCCTGACAGTCCGCATCCCTGTGCTGTGCGTGGCTGTGCCCATCCAGCACCGAAACCTCATGAAACCTTGCATGCTCTCATGTCTTTCCTTCCCACATGTTCCCAAATCGTGCATTTTTGAGAGACCAGGTAAGTTTAGGGGTGCCACTCTACTTTGGATATAACCAGAACTCTCGTGGGAGCCCAAGGGCCATCGGCTGTGCCTGGGAGACTGCCAGGCACCGGGGAAAGTCCGCCCTTCAGGACCTAGATGTGGGCCTAGGGAGCCAGAGCAGGAGACAGGTGGGGGTGTTTTACGATGGGGGCTTCACAAATGGGCAAGTGACGGGACTCAGGGCGCCCCCGAGACCCTCGATATAGTTAGCCGGGGAGGAGCCAGAGACCTCACAACTTCAGGACTCTGCACTGTCAAAATCGAGCTGTCCGATTTCCTGCCCTTACTTCCACGAACAAAGCAACTACTCCATGTTCTACCCTTTGTTCTGAATATTTCTCATGAAAAGAAAATGAAAGAACAATCTTACCCATGAGGAATTTTGCTCAGGACATAATATCCAGTGTAGGAGTGTTGGTATATCTGAAACAGACAAGACAGAGAAAAAAAAAAAAAGAGAGAGAGAGAAAAGCAAGCATTGAGACAAAGGCTGTGACTGTGATATTTTTCAGATCACTGTGAATCCTAGAAAACATCAGGGAATGCAAAGGAGTTAATCAGGGGACCCGGAGGCAAAGTCTTTAATCTACTTAGAAAGTTAATTTGCACATCGTGTTTATTTTACTTTTGTCATTTGCACATTGGTTCTAGGGCAGCGAGAGGCTTGATATGATGCCCATAACCAGCTGGTTTGTGATTAGATCAGGGGCACAGATTTCCAGCTCAACTACACGCAGTACAGCGTGAATGAGAAGGTCACCAGAGGCGCTCAGTCAGCTGGCCCCAACAGGACCACGAGACCCGTATGCTTCAGGACTTCCCTGTAAGTTACGGCAAATTCCATCGTGTACCCTCAGTGAATACGGACGCCAGTGGGTCTTCCCTGGGCAGCCCCCTGTCTGTCTACAATGCAATGTGCGTCTTTCAGTTTCAGAGAAGGGTCAGCAAACTAAGAACTCAATGCAAGAGGGAGCAGGGCTTTTAAAACTAAGGTAACAAACAAAAACCAGCATCTCCAAACTCCTATAGCCCCCCAACCTGGAGATTCTCTTAAACTCTTGAGCCAGGAGAGGACTCCCTGACCGGTAAATGGAATGAAGGGAATGCAAGGAATGACCAAAAGAAGGGACACCACGCAGGGTAGGAAGTCTTGGCATTCACCTCCCGCTGTCTGGACAGAGAGCCTCCCTGGTACTGGGATGCGATGCGTTACTCTGCAGGGTTGAGGCAAGGATATACTGCACGTCCCTTTCTTCTACCTGTGTACCTTCTGCGAGTCAGAAGGGTAAGCGTGTGGGTAAAACATTCAGTGACCAGAATTTAACACCACCCTCCTAGGGGCGCCAGGCTGGCTGGGTCAGATGGGAGTGAGACCCTTGATTTTGGGGTTGTGAGTTTGAGCCCCATATGAGGAGTAGAGGTTGTTTAAATAAAGTTTAAAAAGAAAAAATAAACCATCTTTCTTTCTATTTAAATGTTTATTTTCAAGAGAAGGAGAGAAATTGTGAATCTGAATCCGAAGTGGGTTCCAGGCTCCGAGCTGTCAGCACAGAGTCTGATGTAGGGCTCAGACCCATGAACTGTGAGATCATGACCTGAGCTGAAGTCGGACACTTAACCGACTGAGCCCGCCAGGGGCCCCACAAACCACCTTTCTAAAGGTGACCGGTGAGGGACATTTAGACCAGAGAAGAAAACCCCAGCACGAAGCATGCAGAGCAGGGGAACACACTGGGGTGCGGATGATGGAGCGAAACTTCACAGGCGAACAGGAGGGACTGTGCTAAGCTCACCGACTCCCTGCCTCGCTGGGCCCCCTAATGAACTTCCAATCACAGTGGATCGCAGTTCCTTTGAGAAAGACTCCAGATGCAAAATTAAACAACAGCCTTCAAGCCCCAAAGATCTTTTGCTTCCGAAGACCTCAAGACTCCTGCACCAGAAAGATGGGGCCTGGGGTGGCCTGCTGGAGGGCAGAGGGTGACAGCCGACTGGGAAACTGGTCCAAATACTGCTTTAGGTATGAAGAAACAGCCAGTAAGCACACACCTGGGTAGGAGAACCTCACGGATCTGCCAGGGCGACCTCAGAAGGAGCAGAGGTACCCAGCTCTGCTATTTCTGAAGTCAAGCCTGGTACTGCTTCCCCAGAAGAAGGGAGACCTGCGCCCTAAGGAGATTCCTGCTCCGAGAGCGCCCACCAAAGGACCCTGTGCTTTGACTCAACTGCCTCTGAGCTGGACCAGCTTCCTCAGATGCAAGAAGAGAAGCTTGACAGACATGCTGCATTTCTCCGCAGTCACGGCTCGTGGTGCTGTGCTACACGGCACTCCTAAACTCTCCTCTGATGGCACCTGTTCATCCTGTTTCATCTCTATTGTCACAGTAACCCCAGGAAGGCAAAAGGTGACCTTTGTTTGCTAAGACAGGAAAGTGAGGTATGGCAAGAGCACAGGAGAGAGGAAAAGGAGGGGAGGAGGGGAGGCGATTAAGAGGAGGGGGCGGGGAAGAAGGGGTGGAGCCTAATTCTGGGACTCTATCATACAGAAGGCAGCAGAAATGATGGTAAGGGACTTCAGAGACCAGGTTGTCAAAGGTACCGTGGCTTCCTGCCAGCTCTCTCTCAGGTCACTGCGCTGGGGGAAGACAGGGCCATGCCATTAAGAACCCTTAGCTGCCCTGGGGAGAGGTCCATGTGGTTAGAACCAAGGTTCTTCCCCATCAGATCACCAACAGCCAGCGAGGAGCTGAGGCATCTTGTCAACAGCCACGTGAGGGAGCTTGGACGTAGAGTCTTCGTCCCCAGTCAAGCCTTCGGATGCTGCTGCGCCAGCTGACACTCATGACAGACCATGAGCCAGAACCACTCAGATAAGACGCTCTTGGATTCCTGACCCACACTAACTACAAGATACCAAACGCTGGTTGTCTTAGGCTGCTTAGTTTGGGTACTTTCTTATACAGCAATGATATATCTAGTTAAAATCCAGAGGGGAAAAAGGTAACTATTCCATCAGATGTGGACAGACTTCGAAGTTACTGGATTCCCTCCCTATAAACCTCTAGCAAGTTTTAAAGCAAATTCCTGATCAAATCAGTTTCAGTACAGAAGCGAGGGGCTGGGGAGGACCCCTCATAGGCCAAACACTTGAAGGAAGTCTCTGAAATTACTGTACAGGGCAGCCCAAAGCATCAGAAGTGATGATGGCGGTGATGCCGGGGACGTGCAGGGTGAGTAGCTAGTGTTGACGGAGCACACATGACCCATCAGGTGGTTTGCCAGCCCCACGGCATACAAGAGTCACTCAACCTCTGTGACGTAGGCATTAGCATCCTATTCTGAAGACAGGAAAATTGAATCTTAAGAAAGTCAAGTCAAGCTCAAGCACGGTTTGAGCTGAGGTCTGTCTCTGATCACTGTGTTGGACACTGTCCGAACAAAGGGTGTATCTCTAAACTCCCAAGTTACAAGTCCAAGTTGATGCTTGTCAGCTGAAGAATCCAGGATCCCAACTGATACAATGACTAGCCAAAACTTCATGGTTGAAGGACTACTTCTGTTTTTAAAAAAATTTTTATTTTTGAGAGAGAGAGAGAAAGAGAGAGTGTACAAGCAGAGGAGGGGCAGAGAGAGAGGGAGACAGAGGATCTGAAGCGGGCTCTGTGCTGATGCGGGGCTCGAACCCATGAACTGCGAGATCATAATGTGAGCCAAGGTCGGACTCTGACTGACTTAACTGCCTGAGCCACCCAACAGCCCCAGGGCTATTTCTTTAATCTATCGGAAAGCAGTGATTTCCTTTCATTCCCTGCTTATGCCATTTTCACACAAACACCTAGAAGTTGATCCTCCCACACCTCTTTAAACACATCCTGTCTCTGAACTTCAGTCCTGGGAGTATCTTCTGACTGGGACCAATGAGAATAAAAAAGACCAAACTGAAATAACCTCATAAGGAAAATGGTAAGAAGTCTGTACTATTGGGCAAAAAGAAAAAAAAAAGCATGTGTGGATAGAAAATGTAGTAAAATATCTGGAAAACCGAATCACTAATTAGAAAGACTGAAACAAACATTGGAGAGAGTTGGGTGCCTGGGTGGCTCAGTCAGTGAAGCATCTGACTCTTGATTTCGGCTCACGTCATGATCTCATGGTTTGTGAGTTCAACTCCAGTGTCTGGCTCTATGCTGATGGCACAGAGCCTGCTTGGAATTCTCTCCATCCCTCTCTCTGCCCCTCCCTTGCTCACACTCTCGTTGTCTCTCTTACTCTCTCAAAATAAATAAGTAAAAGCGATTTTTAAAAAGAAAAGGCTCTTATTTTTAAACAATGGGAGAGAATGAAGGTGAGACAGGAAAATCTGGATCTACCGTGTAGGCACGCGAAAGGAGTTGTCTGGAGTAAACTGTTAATGCAAGTGGAATCCTTAGGAAAGAAAGTGCACTTAAGATTGGAGTGCTTCTCTTACAAAAGGAGGGACGTGGGAGGGCCATGTCACAACCTTCCATTTGCTCCAAGACAGAACAATCAAATATCACTCTTTTCCACAAAATGTTCTTTCATCCCAGAGCCAAGAGTAGAGGCATAAACGAAACTACTCTTTAAAGAGTAAATGTCTGATCTTGAAAGGAATTTTAAAAAGCTACATGTCACTCAAAAAGGACTTGTTCTTAGAAAGAGAAAGTCTTTCTTTTTCTTTTTTTCCTGCTCTCTATCTGTTGTGTTTATATTTCTTTCTTTAAAATAGACTCTCAATACTTCTGATCATGCAAAAAAGAACCAAGCCAAAAATTGGTAAGAACGCAGTTGGTTGTTTTTCTAAGAGTGCACTTTTGGAAGTTCATGGATTTGAGTTACTTTGGTTTCGTCCTACACTATCAAATTTCTGTGGAAAATGAATATCTAAAAATCTGTTACCCCAAACACCATACACAAGAATAAGAAAGCACTTTCAGCAAATTTTCTTTCTAATATATCATGAAAAACAGTTGATGTTGGTATCCAATAACTGGGAAAAAAAAATTCAGTCAAAGGTCCTTCCTGTGAGAAGTTCACATTTGGTTTGTTTCTTCTAGCTCTGAAACACCGGCCCACGTGTCATATCCTCGCCCCTACATGGCTCCCATGGGGCCATACTTTTTATTTGTCCATGGTCTTCCCTACCTCAGCCTCCCCATGTTAACACTCATGCCCCACCGTGCACACTCAAGCCCCACCATGCACACTCGTGCAGACTCACTTTGCATCCTCTTCCTCCATGAAATCATCTACTCCTGTAGTTTTAAACCAGATTTCCACCTACACATCTCTTCCTCATGCCTCACAAACACCGAAAACTCAAGATTCTCCAAAATGAACTCTTCAACAATCCTTAAAACCCAGTTCTCCTTGGATACGTCCTGTCTGACTTGGTGGTTTCATCA